TGCATTGTGTTTAGCTTTCTTCACAACTCCCTATGAATCAATTGGCAGAGCGCAAAACAGCCTTTGCCTTTGCGCATGCCCGCCAACACCAACAAAACGGGCGCAATTGTCAAACGGCCATCTTTGTTGTATATGAAAGCAGTCACGGAAATAAATCCATATTTTTACAATTTAGCGACAGCAGATCTATATTCCACATATGGGATATTTATTATTGGAAGCAGGAATCATAAAATATTTATGAATAATATTTTACTCCCCCCCCTTTCTATTACTTTTTTTACGTTCTTGTTTAAGAAGAAGCATAATTTTGATATTCGTTTTGTCATTTTTGTTCGCTTACTGTTTTTCCCCCTTTCAAATTATCCTCCTCCCCCTTATAATAAGCATTTTGACTTTGTCAATATTCTTTCTCCATGTCACAATAATTCATTCTGTCGCCATTATTTTTCTTATAATCGCATTATTATCTCATAAAAAAATCGGTATTACTATTGCACTAATGCTATTCATATTTCTTCAAGCTTTATCATTCTTTATTATTATTATTATTATTATTGTTATTATTATTATTATTATTCACTGTGTCCACATAAGTAATAATTAGTAGCTTTTTTCTAGAGATCAAGTGACAGCAAGCCTCTTTAGTATTCAGGCAATCACTTACTATTCTAGTTGATTTTACTAAAGTTGTCATCTGGATGACTCTGATTATGTGAACAACTGATACATTCATATTTAATAATTTTACTATTATTATTATCATTATTATTATTATTAGTAGTATTAGTAGTAGTAGTAGTAGTAGTAGTAGTAGTTTTTTGTTGTTACTGTTGTTTTGTTTTGTTTACCTTTACTTTGCGTAGTACAATTTAGCCGCGAGTCTCAACTAGACACATTACGAAACAAGTTTTATGTATCAGAGATACATCCAGATGAGGTTGCATGCACTCAGAGAGAAAAAAAAATGTAGTTACTGCATAGAGAGAAATCTACGCAAGATATTATGAGTACCCATGAGTATGTATGATTTTTTGCAAACCAATTTTATAGGGCTACCATTAATTTGTTACACGTATTTGTTTGCTCTTTTTGCTAACATTACCAAAAGTCCCAGTAACAACAACAGCATTATTATTATTATTATTATTATTATTATTATTATTATTATTATTATTTCATTGGGTCTCTGTTGTATACACATTTCCTTCCGGGTCCCAACCAGAGACCTAATGTCAGAAAGGAATTCATGGCATTTTCCAAAAAAACTCTAAGATCACACATACTTTACAGTATTTCTTCAAGGCATGGGATACCAATAACAACAACAACATCATTATTATTATTATTATTATTATTATTATTATTATTATTATCTTCTCTTCTTCCGCACGTTTTTTTCGTTTTCAACCATTTCTTGCATTATGGGTGTTCTCGCATCAAATCGCATGAACTCCAAAAGCACTTTTCGCAAAATATATGCTGTGCCAGGCAACTCAGACTTCTGAAGCGATGGGGTACTAGACTATTTTCTTAATGTAGGTTTTTAAGTTCGTTGGTACAGTCCCCAACGTCCCAATGACAACTGGGGTACAATAGCGACCGAACGTTCCACATTCTGATAACTTCAGTCCGGAAGTTAGTGAACTTTCTAAGCTATCGAAATTTTTTGGCCTCCATCGTTAAGGAGGAGGTATATTCTTGTTTTATGTTTGTTTTTCTTTCAATGACGGTAATGTCTGGTTTGGTGGCCTCAAGGATGTGATCTGTTTGGTGGCCTCAAGGATGTGATCTGTTTGGAAGTTAGAACTCCATAAGATCTTGACTTGGTCGTTTTCGTTCACCTTCTCTGACTTTGGTAGTATCATTCCTGTTCGCCGACTTCAAGTCCATACTTCCCATATAGGCACCAATGCAGATGGGAGGCCATTAATCATGGCAGCGATTGTATTCTTTCTACGTAGACATTATACAAGCGCTAATGAAGTGGAGATGATTTTTTTCACCTCCATGCCACACATTTTACACTTGTCCTAATCCACTTGCTGAGAGATGTTCTTCCGGACAGAATTCATATTCAGGCCTTTACTCTTGGGTGGCTACCTATACTCTTTCAGTATCGCCTTTCAGTTTGCCTTTCCTCAACTAATCCCAGAAATCTTTTGCCTTAATGCCATTGGTGTCACTCTAACAATACCCATGAAGCGCCATTGCTCTTTTGCTTTTAATTCTCTTTCTTGTGTACTTGTATTGTTCTAGATACTTCGGGAAATCCACAAATCTTTTATTTGTGAATTTCGCCATATATTTTAGTGTTTATAAAGTACCAGTCCAACGACCTAAGTTCACTCGTTACACATTCTTCAATATCGATAAGCCTCTAGCTCCTTCTTTTCACGACGTGTCACATTTGACTTTTGGCTACAATAATAATAATAATAATAATAATAATAATATCTTTTATTTCTGTTGTATACTCAATTCCTTTTGGGTCCCAACCAGAAGCCTAATGTCAGGAATAGCACTGTAACATATTCACCTGCATATTTGTGTATAAAAAAAACGACAAACACAAGCATATTTGACATAGGTAAAGCCCTTCGCAGGGTGTGAGCGGTACTTGTAAGAACAATTATTGTAATTCTTGAAGACATGAGCTACCAGAGATTCTGTCAATTAGCCTATAAAACCCAGGGTCCCAAACATAGTTGAAATTATTGATGTCTTCATGTTCCACATTCTTGAAATTTCCACTTCAAGATCCTTGTATTTTGATGATCTTTAAAGCTACATTACAGTCTGACGGAACTGTCATGTTAATACGAAGGCCTGCTCTGTTTTTGTTGTCTTTGATCACTATGCCTGGGTAGTTCATTATTATATGGGAGTGACACTGGGGTACAAATAGACGAAGCCCAATATATTCATCATGACACCCAGTCTGATAATGGCCCAGCTAGTACATGCATCACAGCCATATGTTTAGGTAAAAGCGACGCAAAAGCTTGCAGTGGGAAATATCTTCAAGTAGAATAACTCAGTCTGCTCAAACGGTCTTCGATTAATGTGATTCCCAAGACATTTTGGCTAACTCATCATTCAAAATAGATAGATAGATAGATAGATAGAAGCTTAAATAGATAGATAGATAGATAGATAGATAGATAGATAGATAGATAGATAGATAGATAGATAGATAGATAGATAGATAGATAGATAGATAGATAGATAGATAGATAGATAGATGCTTAAATAAACACACGCATGTGGTGGTGTGGCGTGGTGTAATAGATAACGTGTCAGAAGTCGGACATCCGAGTTCAAATTCCGGTTGGGTTCGTTACATTCACTTATGCCCAAATAGCCTTCACCTCTTCTCCCCACAGCTTTGGGTTTAATAGCAGGAGAGAGTGTGTCCTATAGCCTTGTTTGGCAACCAGTCCACAGCAAAAAAGAAACAGCAACCTGCAGTCATCAACTGAAAAAAAAAAAACATGACTTAATGCACACACACACACACACACACACACTTAACACACACACACACACACACACACACACACATATATATATATATATATATATATATATATATATATATATATACGCTTCCGGCTTTAGGCAATCGGATGCCTAACCAAACTGATGAGCTGTGATACAGCGAAACAGTCTATCAGTGAATGACAATATGTACACCCCCGGAAAATTTAATTCCAGTCGAGCACTCTTGAGAGAAAGCGTGAATTTGTAAACAATGACTACTTCTATGAATTGAGCACTATCGGTCATTGGTGTGTTTATTCGAAGTTTAAGTACGTAAAAATTCACCTTCCTTTCAACCTCAGGGGTAGAATCGTAAAAAACAACTTTCCTTTCAATAGCTCAAGGGTTGAACCTCCGAATTATGCCAAATCGGTCGGGTTTCGCTGTCTATCCATACTGATGAGCTGTGATACAGTGAAAGTCTGTCTGTGGATGACAATATATATATATATATATATATATTTCCCGCAAAAAATAAGCTTGTGGTTTGATAAATCATTGGTTCGTGAAATTGGTGAAATAGTAATTGTTAATTCAATCCCTGGGTAGTGCATACTGAGGGTAGTGTTTCCGTGAAAACAGGGCGAATAATAACTTAAAAACAGCCTCATAAGAAATTGACAAAATATCCCCGGACACGGACAATTTCTACCCGTAGATCAAATAAGGTTTTCAGTTTGAAATCCCTCGAAGCTTGCCCAGATCGACAGAAGGCATCAGAAGAAAGAAAGACGAAGGTACATTGGCCGAAACGTTTTGGAAACAACAATAAAAATAAGGAAAAATAGGCATAATAAATAAGCTTATATATATGTGTGTGTGTGTGTGTGTGTTTTTGTAAACAAATCGATAGATTTGTCTGAGCTCCGAATAAAATAGAAACGAGAAAAAAAAAAAGATTAACTAAGACTAAGAATTAAGAATTCCCAACGTTCTCTTTTGTTGAAAAAAAAGAAAAAGAAAAGAGAAAACGCTAGAAAATTTAGCAAACACTAAATTATTAGTTAGATTAAAATGTGAACGCTTCAAGAGATAGACGAGGTTGTGTACTGAATGATCCTAGGACAGACCAAGAAATCCTTCCAAAAAAATCCGATAATTAGCCATTTGGCCAGAAAGAACATTTCAGCGCCATCTTCAAGCACACGGTTTCTTAATTTGATAGATAGATAGATAGATAGATAGATAGATAGATAGATAGATAGATAGATAGATTCCTTTTTACGGCTATCAACGTTTTTGTAGGTTAGTTAAAGCCGGAAAATATTTCTAGATCGTAAGAATTATTTGGAAATAATAATGATTTACTCATAGGTAGTGGGGAGACGAGGTGGATTCATACCTTTTCTTAAGGACATTTTCCCGTAAGTGAATATAACGAACCCGACTTAAATTGGTTTTGGAATTTCCAATTCCTAGCCGTTATCAATTGCACCACCCGTACACCCAATCTTAGAGTACCTGGTATTTCTAAGCGGTAACCTAGCTACGTACTAACCAGGCTCGATGTTGCTTGACTTGGTTGTTCGAATGAGAACCGGTGATTCAACTTGATATGGCAGTAAAGCTGTGATAGATAGATAGATAGATAGATAGATAGATAGATAGATAGATAGATAGATAGATAGATAGATAGATGTGAAGTGATTGAGATAGATGCTAAAAGACTAAAACAGATAGATAGATAGATAGATAGATAGATAGATAGATAGATAGATAGATAGATGTAAACAAACTAGCATAGATACATGTTAACAGATTAACATATATAAGCAGATAGATGTAGAAAAACTAGCATAGATAGATAGATAGATAGATAGATAGATAGATAGATAGATAGATAGATATCCAGTACTAATCTGTATAGCCATAAAAAATAATTACATTCATTTTACCGTCATTAACACGCACTTCAGAATTGACGTTTCTCATTAATATTCGTCTTGTGGTGAGAGTGATCAAGATAATAGCACTTTGGTGAGAAATAATCGGTTCTTGCTTTTGGGGTAATTATAAGAAGGAATGACTAATTAAATAAAGTCTGTGGCGTTAATTTTGTTTTTTTGTCTTTTTCAGATTCCATATGAAAACTTTAATTGTTGCCAAGCAATTCAAAAAAACTCAAGAAACAAATTATTGCATACTCATTAAAAAAATTGTCTTGAATGACGTCAACTTTGACACCAACTGGATGAGAAACTAAATTAACGGCGGCTTCTAACATGAGATCTGAACGGTAAGTCATACAGTGTTAACATGTTTTCTAAAAGTCTCTCCGTAGAGCTACACATTTCCTATTGATCACCCCAGATATTTTATGAACGGGGTCTTATCATGCTGACAGAATACGGATCAGCTTCGTTTGATTGTCGCAAAATCATGGAACTTACGATCGAGTATTTAACAAAGATCAAATTACATTATTCGGACTATTGTACCCATCTTTGTCGCCATATTTATTAAACGTTTCGGCCGTTGTACACTTGAGGACACACGACACAGTGGATAAAGGCGTTGGTTAGATCCAGTGACAGGACCCAAAGAGTGTGAGTTCAATACCCGGTTAAGGCAGTGGAGAACCTTCAGAAGAAAATTAACAGACATCCATTAAACATGGCACGTGGAACTAGAACAGTCTACCCCAGAGAGCGAAATAAAGGGTTCAGTTCGACATTCCAACCACCTGAAGAAGGCTGGAGCGTACAACGGCCGAAACGTAATAAACATGACGGCAAAGATGAGGACAATAGTCCGAATAATGTAAATAGTGTACATAATACCTCATCTCAGAAATATAGACAGATACTAAAAGATTAAATTGTTTTAGTTATCATTTAACCAAAATAAGTTTTGCAGAAAGGGGTACATTCATGAGTATTTGACGCAACTCTTTTCTTAATTATATTTGACGGTATCCCCGATAAGGAAAATAACATGTTCTTCTGTTTCTCCAACTTCGACCGATTGTTTTGTACAACCGCCATTTTTTATCCTATATGGCAGCAGTACTTCAATTTCGGCCTAACCTGGCGCAAGGGAGAGAATAGCAGGAGCAGTCAGGTACTTACTGAAGCGGTACAATCTTTAGCAATAAATTGTATTTTAGAGTTCCACTTTAGGTCTTGGGTGAGTGGTCAGGCTACGGGTGCTCCCTGAGGGAGTTTCCGTTCATTGTGATTAGTGAAAGTTCTGAGTCTGATCAGCGATGGTGGAATGTCGCTAGTTTGGTTTTCTAGGTATTGAATGTGACCAGCCAGTTTTTCCCCGCACTGAGCTGTCAGTGCTAGGTCAAAGGAGAGATCAGCTGAACAAGCTCTGGTCATCTAGAGTTTTGTAAGAAGATATTCATATTTAAACCCTACCAATATCAAATGTGTCCCCAAATAATAATAGACAGACTGAAGAGAGTCTTGAGATCCTACGTCCAAAAGGGACACGGATTATTTTACCCGATACTTTAAGACAATACTTTAAGCTAACATATTTTGTGTTCATTTCGGCATTAACAAGGTTATTCTGTGCGTCGTGTTCCGTAAGGACGTTCGCGATCATGGCTCTCCACAATTTTCTGGCATTTGTAGCGCTTAATAAATTTTCTCTTTTGTTATCTCACTTAAACCTTGCTTCGCCATCCATTTACTGAAGCTCTCTTGGTAGGTTATGCGTTGTTTTCCTCTGTCCCTCTTGCCTTCTATATCTCCTATGAGTATCAGATTTTAAATGAAATATACAACAGTGGTAACATACCAGAAAATTTTCTTCTTCTTCTATGTGCCGTGTCCCGTCAGGACGTGTTTGATCATGGCTCTCCACAATTTTCTATCCTTTGTAGGCTTTAGCGAGTTTGTATTTCCCTTCAATATGCCTTGTGAATATCATATTCTCTAAACCCCTTCCTCATTATGTGACCTACAAATTCTAAGTGTTAATGTCCTTTTTGTTTCCATTTTCTCTAAAGCGTCTTCATTGCTATTGATATAATATTCTCGGCGTCTTTTCTTCGTCTGCCGTGATGAGATTGTTCAGTATTCACTACGATAAAGGAGGATTGCTATTACCTAACACTTCAGTACACTTTTCTTTGTATCTAACGAGATTTCCTGTTTCTTAATACTTTGCTTAGCTTTTGCAAAGCATCTTACACTATCCATGACGAGATATTGTATGCAGATAGAAAACGAATTCAGTAAATACGCAAATGTAGAGAATCATATGTGTCTTTACACCGGACTTCTTCAGCTTTTACAGCGAGGCGATATTGAGAGAACTAGAAGTCCTACCAGGATTTACTATTGGTAGACACAAACTTAACAAGATAAGATGTGCAAATGACACTATGTTGATGGTTTGGTTTATTTCGTTTTACGGCATATCAACACTTCAATGAGTTATTTTGTACCGGCAAGATTTTTAGGATAGGTTTGTATGAATAAGTATTTGTAAAAAATCAGTTTACAGATCAGGTTTCATTGGCGGGTTTTTGTAAAGAGGTTTTTTGTCGAGAGACAAATGTATTGCTGGTAAAGAAATTTTCTTAAAAGATGTGCTGGTATTTTTTACTATAAAAATAGTTTTACATTTTCGTAGTGTCGACCCCTGTTTGGAGGGGTTAACTATTTACCCATAGCTGGGGCCCTAACAGGTGCTACCACCCGGGTTATGTTGGACCTTGTAACAAGAGTAATTAAGAGATGTCTTCACGCTCCTCAAAACCTCTCGATCAGCGGCCTTGCTGCTGGATGTTGTCTATCGTCATACCAAGGACGCAGCGGAATGTTGATAGCAGACGCACAAAGGAACTCCTAGATAAGGGAAGTAAGTAGAAAGAACAAAACATCAATTGTAAGAAGACAGAATTTATGGTTGTCAACAAAAGGAACTTCCTAAGTTTCAAAATTACGAATCGAAGATGTCAGAATGAAGCAAAGACGAACATTTAAGTATTTGGAAATTATTTTAACAGAGCTAGGAAAATGTTACATAAATGCGACGGCGCATTGGAATAGAAAATGATGGTATTAAATTAAACAAAGTATTAAGAAACAAGAAAAAATTGTTAAAAAAAAAACAAAGAAAAGAGTGCTAAACTGTTAGTTATTACCAGTCCTTCCATATAGAAGTGAATGTTGAACACTCTACTCACAAATGTTGAACATACTAACGGCAGCAAAAATGTAGTTTTACAAAACAATGTTGAGAATACCATGGAGTGAACATGTAAGTAACGAAGGAGTTTTAAGGAAAATGAAAACAAAATGGCCGCTTATACTTATAAAACCGAAAGAGACAATTAAAATTTCCAGGGTGCATAATGAGGAAAGATGACCTGGAGAATTTAATACATGACATATTGAAGGCAAGATGGACAACAAAAATAGCAAGTAACCCACTTAAAAAGCTAGTGCAAATGAATGGCAAAACAGGAACTGGGCCTGATGATGAAAAAAAACAAACCTTACTAAGAGTTACAAAGAAAGCTGTGAAGAGTTGTAACCGCTCAACTCATTCACAATTCTATAGCACACCAACATATTGTGTTTAGATTAAGCAACGTTAATTATCCAACTTATAATCCTATTCTACAAGCGAGTATCATTCCCCAAAGAGACTTTAGATAATTTTTGAAAATAAGGAGAAGTTAAACAAAACTATTTATTCACGCTCGTTTAACATGCGCAGGTAGTGTAATGGATGGCGGCTCGGAATTCGAATTCGGAGAGCGGAGTTCGAATTTCAGTCGAGTTTCTTATATTCACTTACATCTAAATACCCTTTCCGTCCTGGGTATGACGATAAACTACTTCCGCGTCCTGGGTAAGACGATAAACTATATCCAACAGCAATGCCTCTGGTCAGGAGGTTTTGAGAAGCGTGGAACCACATCTTAATTGTTGGTGTTCCCAGGTCCACCCTGACCTGGGGAGGTAGCACCTGTTAGGGTCCCAGCTATGGGTAAATAGTTAAACCCAAAACACTATGAAAGTGTAAAAATAGGTTTTAATACCGGAAAATATTTTGTAAAAAATTATTACCAGCAATAAATTTTTGAAGAAAAAATATTACCAGCAATACATTTTTGGAAAAAAAGAATATTACCAGCAAATAACCCATTGAGGTTGATATACCATAAAACAAAACAAACCAAAGCAAATTCCCTTGGGAAATATATGGATCCATCTTTCTCCCACCACCCAGTTAAATAATAGGGTAGACTGAGCGCTTTATCCGTGGTTGGTAACAAGTCAAGAAGGACACTTCTAAGAAGGACAAAACTCGTTGCACATGGTGCTAGCAACTATATCTCGTAAAAATCTACTATTTGCTATGGATACACCAGCAATAATGTCTACCATGCTGAAATATGTAGCCCCATATTCCTCAGGGAGTCTACGGGACTTGACTGAGTGAGTGAGTGAAAGACCTATATGCATCACGATATATGTGGGGATATATCTGTATAAGTTGTATGTGTTGTTCTGTAGTATGCAGCCAAATATTTGTGTTCAGAGCCTAATTGCGAGGGCGGATGAATATATTGGGTGATTGCACGCACAGGTTGT